ATTCCTCTCCTCTCGATGACGAAAAGTGACGTTCTTCCATAACTGCGGACCCATTCACCGCAGAGTGGCACGGACCATCTCGCAGGTAAACGTGCACGTTGCCCTCAAGAGTACGGTGTTCTTTGCACATTCCACGCGAATATTTTATTATTGCGTCAGTCTCATAGTCACTACAAGTAATTTGAGCGGAATTTCCGTACAATCGAGTTTATAAGAGGAACCATGTCGAGACTCAATCAATTCAAGTTCCCTCCTTGCTTTTAATCAGTCTTCTCTGACCTTTCACGCTTGATACGAGTAGCGACGGCTGCAACCACAGCTGCGCCGATGCCACTACCGTCTTTCGACAGCATCAGTTGATACTAAAATGAATAAAGCGGGTTAACAATTTGGAAATCAAATGGAGGGAGCTATACTCCATATCCCAATAATGGCGAGGGCGTGGCTGCACACTCGTGAACATGGTGTGAGATGTCTCTTTCGAGGGTTTATGTGAAACAATTATCATGCTGCCTTGATATGAATAAAGACGTAATTACAGTTGTCCCCGAAACGAAGATGTATCTCCAGGAAGTTCAAATGAAGTGTGCAGCCACGCCCACCCCATCTCCGAGATATGAGGTGTACTGTGGAAGAACGCAGCAATATGAACACTTATTACCTTAACACCGCTATCTATCAACGCGTTAATTTTTTGCTCAAGTAATCGCTTGAAACAAGGATGGAAACGATACACAGATCCGTCAACACCAACGGTGACGGTGAAATCACGCTTGATGTGATTGAGCACTTGAGCGATAGCTGCTGCCGTTAGATAGGCAGCCCTGAAAAGTTGCATCCAAATTTCGTTTTTATTTTTCATAATTTTCTCACATTTAGATCACGAAAAAGGTTCGACCAGTTTCGTTCCCATGGAAAGAAAATAGATACCAGCGGTGTAATTCTATTAAAGTGCAGTCCGCAATAAACATGTGGGCGTGGCAAGGTCATAGCTCCTTTATCAAGGGCACGCTCTCCCTTCCGCAATGGTGACAAAAAAGAAGTAAATAAATACCCATTACGGTTGGCTTGGCTTCTCCCTTAGGAACAAACCGGTTGGAAGGAGATTGTCCTCCACGCGCTAGTCATTCTATCCCAGATACATAGAGAGAACTCGGAGTGAGAAAAGCCGCGCTTCTCTCGACCACATCGGCCCCCGTTTAATTTCACCCGCAATTTCCGGGGTTACTGTATACAGCCTGTTTTCCTCAACTAATGATCGTGTCGATCGTCTACTAACGTCTATGCGCTTCTACATCCAGTTCTTCTCTAAAATCCATGGAGTGATCTTACCTTGTGCTGACTGCAGTACAAATGTATGCGACATGAAGACAGTCTTCGTCACTAATGTTTCTCACACCAATTTCCCTGAGTATTTCACGAGTTCGCGGGAATCCTTTTCCCTTACCACCTTCCTCCAGTTCACTGAAAAAAAAACAACGGTAATGAAAGCAGGGTATGTTGACAAGGCAACCGTAACTGCCGCGCTGGTGGCAAAGCACACCATTAGATGAGGTTTCGGTCGAGTCCGTACGGCCCCACTTTTTTAGGGCGTTGGTTGGTATCACCCCCTAGTTCCCTCCTCCGATTGAGCTGTCGAGCGGGATGGGGGGTGTAGCACAAGTGAAACGAGAAAAACTGCGGACAAAATACGAACGACCCTCCGACTTTCCCCTCTTTCTACTACTTTTTTTTGGAATTTCTCAAAAGGTTTATTACTTTTACCCAAAATTTTGTTGCCGAGCGGGAGGGGAGGGGTGGTGTCTACATAGCACACATGAACGAAAAACCATGGAGACAGTAACCTCTCTCAGACGGTCAGAAGGGGAATACGACCTTCTCCCCCAACAACGAGGAAATACGCCCCCCCCCCTTTACAAGGTCCCTGAAACAAGAAAAACCAGCTATCACCTCCCCGCCCTCTCTCAGCAACTGGTGGGCGTGGCGAGCGACGTCACGCAAGGCAGGCGGTTCGTCCTCTTGGTCATTTGATTCTGAGTACTGAGGGACAGAGGGAGTTCGATATAGCCCGCCTTGCAGTGTTGTATTCGCTTGAATTTGGATGAGTTTTGCTGCACCAAATGACCAACAGATACACAGGGTTTGCCACGCATCGCCGTCGATACGCCGCGCGCAACGACGCAACCAATTACAAGGTTTTGTCCGTCTACCGGAAATAAGAAGACTGCTGAACACGCAGGAGTTTGCGTTTAATCATGAACAGTGTTGAGATTTCAAACGGTACTTTGCTAAATTCGTTTTACATCAAACCGCTCAACCTTCTGAGTGCCTATCTCTTACAGTTTTCAAGATCGCGTTATACGCTCAGGTTTGTGCCGCGCCTCTCCCAAAGACCTCCTTTCCACTTCTCAGAAAGAGGTGCCTTGTCTTGCGATTTCATTCTATTACTCGCGTTAGCGTAATTGTTTCACGCAGTTATATCCAAAATCAGCGACTTACTTTTCAACTTCGGAGACATGCTTAGTGGTGAAGCAATCCCTTTTGCTAATTGCGCTGCTGTCCCCTTTGAACATCACACCAGCTCTGGCCATTTTCTCCATAACCACACGTGCCAGTTCGCCCATATACATGCCGGAGATCATTTTTTCAAACCTAGTGAAACGAATTTTATATTAACACGATAAGAAAATTTAAAGCTAGTTGGCAGTATAATGTCGTGCTCGGTCTAAAATGCTAGCAGGGCGCTGTACAGTGGAAAAGTGGTGAAAATACGAAGTGAAACTATCAAAATCTTGCAAAGAAAAGCCCTTCTTTCAATAACTCAAAAAGCAATTTCGGACGAGTTTTCCGTAGGCATCTTACCAATAACCACTATGGTAGATTCGGCGGCACGTCCATGCAGCACCGATGCCACTTCATACCGATCCCTTCGTTTCATATTCTACTCATCAAATGACGCAATACGAGCATCAGGTACAGTCGTCTATTGTGGGCGGGTGGGCATGTTGGGTCGGCATGCTGTAGCTTGATGAGGCTCCTACAAAGGTACCTCCCTCGGAAAAGATGCTACGCAGCGCCTGCTCGGGGTCGCGGATATCCATCCTGGAGTACCAATCCTACTCGTCTTGCCAGGGAAGTTCGCCATCTTACCATGGAACTTTGAATGGAGACCTGGGTAGATCGATAGAGTCTATGAGGTTATTTACAAATATAGATAGAACCTGCATTTCACAAGCAACTTATGAGCAGGCAAAATTTGAATGGTGGAGTAAGGGGGAGGCTTGGTGGTGAGCTGTGAAGCAAGCGAGATCGTTGATTTCACCGCCACTGTAGACCACACTGTTGAGCTCCGTCCGAAGCTAAGAAGCGGATAATTGAGGAGGTTAAAGTCAGGTGACACACTTGGATATTCTGTCTTCTTCAGGTACAACGTCCTTCCATTCCAAGTAGGCGAAAGTTTTTCCAACGCCCTTCGATTCCGTGTGGAGGCACCCAATCCTGTAGCAGTACGAAGTCTCCAAGAAGGTACAGGCGATGACATGAAGGCAGGATATTCTCCACGAGTTGGTCGATGTAACCGTCAGCGTTCACTTTCAGAAAAACGGTCCACGAAGAAAATATCGGTCTTCCCATTCCAGGAACTTCCAGTCCATACTATCAACCTTGGCGACTGCAAGATGATATCCTGGAGAGTAGCGACCTTGTTGGTGCTGCCGATGTTGGAGGTCTTCCAGATCAAGAGTACTGGTCTCCAGGTAGCTATCCATGGGTGACTCCATACTAGAAGTTTCGCAGCTGTTTGGAGGTGACGTGAATTCCAAGGTCTTCTCCAGTCAGGCTGCGACTGGAGATGACTTCATATTTTGGTGTACATGAAGGTGATGGGCGAGAGCCAGCTCCTGCTTATCGAGGAACATCTTGGGTATCTTCCGCCCTGGTACTCGTATCCACGTCCTCTGTCTGGGCTGCGAAAACTTTGCTGATATGTGACTCGGTCGAAGTGATTTTTTGCCCCCCCCCCCCGTAGAGCGCTGCTGAGGCGGGCTCTACCACTAATAAGGCTATCTTGAAACCATGGGGATTTTCAGAGCTTTCGGTTATCGTAACAAACTGTTTCTCTCGACAGCGACTCACAATTGCTTTCTTGGATTCAAACTAGTTGAATCAACATATTTGTCGTATTCTGTGACAACAAAGTTTATACTTCCATCATCACCGAACGCTCCCCATTCCATATTGATAATGATCTGTAATAAACACCAAGAGGGCAGTGTTAGAATGTTGTTGAGTAGTGTCCAGCTCACTTCAGGAGGGAAGCCATCATTCTCCCATTCGCCTTTCATCTTGGGGACATTTTCCAGTCTCTCCATGTAGCAGGCGTTTGTACCAGTTCCAACGATGACACCAATCTAACAATAAGGACTGTTCAGGAAAGCCATACGCAATGGAATGCACTGATTAATCAACCTGGCAGCTGTTTTCTTTGAATGCACATGCCATGAGTGTTCCTACAGTGTCGTTCAGCAATGCAACAACATCGATGTCGACATCCTTCAAAACCAGTCAGCTAGGCAGCTTCAGACTCCACGATGACAAGCGTCGACGCGCTGTGACGCTATAAGCCTATAGACGCGAACGCAACCATAAACGGGAATCGATCGGCACTGGCCACTGGGGCAGCACCGGCGGCACTGATTGATTCTCGTCTGCGGCTGTGTTGTAGAGCGCTGATGCAATTGCAGCGCGTCGACGCCCGTTACAGCGCATCGACGCGCGTCATTGCGAAGTCTGAACGCTGTATCAGAATGCAGAAAACTATCGTGACTTAATGATTGTACACATCTACTTCGCATAATAAGTGAGCAGTCAAAAGTTCTCCAAGTTTGTTATCACTGTCTGAAGCTATGATAAAAAGAGATGATGATGAAAAGAGCTACGGTCCTCATCACTGCGGACTGTCGGAGGGCGGCTGTGCAACGCGGTCCAAATGGGCGTTCGGCCTCGTTGCTCTACCAATGGCGATCGGGTAAAGATCGATTTAGGGAGGGAGCAACCAATGATGGAAACGCCGCAGGTGCGAGCCGCTGATTGCGACCCGACAATTGCGGTGATGTAAAGTGTATGTACAAACGAGGAAGTGACGAGAGAATACTAGACGCCCGTGGAATGATTGTGAAATCAAACAATAAACGGAAAGTGGCCACTATGAGCGATTGTGGACCGAGTGCTTCATACAAATAGTGTCAGAGGTTGCCCAGCTCTTCTCCACCTGAAGTCAGTTGCTTACGAGCAACTGACTAATTCCTGTTTCCCATTTTCGTTCACTGGACCGTACTTTTAGAATGCTTCAAATGAATCGAGGTCAGAAAAAAAAGTGTATTCTTCTATGTCATTTTCTTCCGTGATGAGGGTCTGTTCTCAGAGCTGGGGGCGGGCGGTTGCCGCCATGTCATTGGTGGAAGGGTTGCGAAAGGGTTTTGGTCACACCCCACTCTGTCCTTCCACCAATGACGCTGGCAACAACCGTCCACCTCTAGCAATCATGTCCACTGCCTTCAATTACGGCAGTGTTGAAGGTTAGCCTAAAGCGTTCATGGCTTCGCATAAACTCTCGAAAAATGACGCACTCCACGTTTTTTGCATGCTTTTCGCAGCAGTTGCACAACATCGTGACCTTCGCAACCGCTGGCGCTGAATCCCTTGGTCCAGTGGATAAGTTTGGCTCTAAAAATTCAGTACCGTAATAGCTGCAATGCTGTAATGGAAATCACCGTCAAAACTCACTTTGTTAGTCCCTTCTTGCTTGCAAGGGAAGGAGAATGTGAATCCAAGCGGAAGCTTCTTTCGGACACCTTTGCCAAATTGTTCCTCGCAGAACATCGCGATACAATTGGCAATATGGTCGAATAGCTGGTAAACAGAAAACCAGAGTGTTTGTGCTTTCATTGCAGTTTCTCTTGTACCACAATTGGCCAGATTGCGACACATACAGGGCGGCAGGTTCAACTTTTCTGCCTGCTCTGTGTGCCCATCTACAGTCTGCTCTACCGAGAGCTGATGGAACGGGCGTAACAAGGGGCGTAGATCACCAGGAAGCGTTCAGACTTCGCAACGACGCGCGACTACGCGCTGTGACGCGCTATATCTGCAAGAGGGCGCGCTGATGCTATACACGCTAACGCAGCTGCAGACGGGAATCGATAAGCACTGGTCGCTTGCTTACGAGAGAGAATGTAGGATAACGGGAGAGTAGGCGCTTCCCTCAAGCTAATACCCTCATAACCCTCTATTCTCTCCCAAAGCCCTTGCGGCCAGTGCCGATTGATGCCCACCTGCGGCTGCGTTCGCGTCTATGGTTTTGGAGCACTTTTGCATTTGTAATGCGTCATCGCGAAGTTTAAACGCTGCCCATTGTTGCAACGGCTTCGCTTTCTACGTTATGTTGCTGCTTTAGAGCATCTAGTCTTCTCGGTTTCATGCCCTTACCCCAGTAAGATGCAGCCTTTGCTTCTGCTTCCATCCATTTGACAGTTGCTCCACGAAAACGGACTACTTTAGTGTGGTTTAAAGAAACAATATACGCTCAGCTACGAGGTGCATTCTTGGGGATAGCGATCCCCCCGCTGTCGAAGCGTAGCGGTTTCCCCGTGCGAACATCCGGGGATGGGGATTCAGGACCGTAGAATAGGCTTATTCCTCTATGCTTCGCCTAAAATGCGGCGCAGACATGCTGAACGCCGCTAGCCTCTCCCAATCCCGCTTATAATAATCGCCGTCAGTTTTTTTGCGGCGCAGATTCCCGTTCATGCTAACATCCGTCGTAAGCGCGCGTGTCGCGTGCGGCTCTCTTGGCACTTTGCCAAGTCCTGTAATTGCGCTTTGGAATACAAGTAAAACGCAAACTCCTGATGCGGATAACATTTGAGGTGTTGCTCATGCTGCAAAGTCCGAATCGAAGATGATGAAGATGACGAAGGCTAGAATTGAAGAGCAACGAATGTAGATGCAAATCAAAAATCTAAGCGAATGTATACTCTTTATCCCTGAGACGGGGTAGGCGTGGCATTCGAACATGGCACGGAACTGGTTACTCGTGGGA